TGAGACTAGCCTGGCCAACATGATGAAACCCTGTCTCTACTGAAAATACACAAATTAGTTGGGTGTGGTGGCGTGCACCTGTAGTCCCAGCTACTCTGGAGGCTGAGACAGGAGAATTGCTTGAACCCGGGAGGCAGATCTCTTGCAGTGAGCCGAGATCACACCACTCTGGGCAACAGAGTGAGACTCTGTCTCAAACAAATAAATAAAGAATAAAATACTTTGGCAAAAGTTAAGGAAGGAAGTATGGGAAAATGTTAGCAATTGCTGAATGTTGATGATGGGTATACGAGTGTTCATATATTTTTTTCTTCCAATTTTTGTTTAAAAACAAATAAACAAACAAACAAAAAGCAAAAACTGGTCAGATGTGGTGGCTCGCACCTGTCATCCCAGCATTTTGGAAGGCAGAGGCTGGAGGATCGCTTGAGGCCCGGAGTTCAAGACCAGCCTGGGCAACACAGGATAGTAATAATAATAAAAACTACTACTACTACTACTACTAATAAAAAACTGGTCAGATGTGGTGGCTCGCACCTGTCATCCCAGCATTTTGGAAGGCAGAGGCTGGAGGATCGCTTGAGGCCCGGAGTTCAAGACCAGCCTGGGCAATGCACTGAGACCCATCTACAATAAAAAAATAAAAGTTAAGCCAGGCGTGGTGGTTCACATTTGCAATTTCAGCACTTTGGGAGGCTGAGTGGGGCAGACCACTTGAGCTCAGGAGTCCAAGACTAGCCTGCACAACATGGTGAAACTCTATCTCTGCCAAAAATACAACAGCAACAAAAAGTGAGCTGGACATGGTGGTATGTGCCTGTGATTCCGGCTGCTCGGGAGGCTGAGGTGGAAGGATTACTTGAACCTGGGAGGCAGAGGTTGCAGTGAACTGAGATCATGCCACTGCACTCCAGCCTGGGTGACAGAGTGAAGCTCTATTTCAAAATTAATTAATTAATTAAATTAAATAAATAAAGGCCAGGCACTGTGGCTCACACCTGTAATCCCAGCACTTTGGGAGGCCAAGGCGGGTGGATTACAAGGTCAGGAGTTCAAGACCAGCCTGGCCAACCTGGAGAAATCCTATCTGTACTAAAAAATACAAAATTAGCCTGGAGTGGTGGCGCATGCCTGTAACCCCAGTTACTCAGGAGGCTGAGGCAGGAGAATCGCTTGAACCTGGGAGGCGGAAGATGCAGTGAGCTGAGATCACACCATTGCACTCTAGCCTGGGCAACAAGAGTGAAACCATCTCACCAAAAAATTAAAATAAAAATAATAAATAAGAATTTTTAAAAATTAGCGGGGGGTGGTAGTGCACACCCGTAGTCCCAGCCACTTGGGAGGCTGAAGTGGGAGGATTGCTGGAAGTCAGGAGGCAGAAGTTGCAGTGAGCCGAGATCACACCATTGAACTATAGCCTGGGTGATAGAGTGAGACTCTGTTGCAAAAAAAAAACGAAAACAAAGCCGGGTGCGGTGGCTCACGCCTGTAATCCTAGCACTTTGGGAGGCCAAGGTGGGTGGATCACCTGAGGTCAGGAGTTCAAGACCAGCCTGGCCATCATGGTGATACCCCGTCTTAAATAAAAAACAAAAACAAAAAAAACAACCATGTGTCTTACCCTCTCATTGCCCTTATGAGAAAAGCCAGACACGTGGGTCGCTATTTGAAACGCTGTGAGTCTGGTTCTTACACCGCCAGCCTTCTCTCTTACTACTGCGACCCACCTAGCCTGCATTACAGCCCCCTCTGCAGTCTCAGCCCTCCCCACACCCTCAGGCCCTTTCCACCTCTGTGGCTCTGCAGAGCTGGTCCCTCTGCCCTGCCATGCCCTCTCTCATGGTGAACTCCCAGGTGTCTTCAGGGCCCCGCCCCAGAGCTCTTGCTCAAGGAACCTCCCACCACTAGGTCCCCTCTGAGCTTGGGTGCACTCAGCTGCCCAGAACTGGTCTTGGTTGAGTGGATCTGATGGGATGTTGTGAGCAGAGGTCCTCCCCTCGTGCCGGGAGCCATATCGCAGCCGGTCAGGGGCCTCAGAGCCTCTGTCTTGCTGGCATGGCAGGTGCTCCGGCAATGTTCGCAGAATGAACAAACATGCTAGAAGGAAATTCCGAAGGAAGGTTTACGGTGGCAAGGATGGGGTGGCGGTTCCCAGAGCTTTAAACTTTTTGCGTTTCCAAGTTTTCAGCAAAGAGGGTATCTGCATCTAGACAGGCAGATAGAGAGAGAGAGGGAGAGAGATGATAGATAGATAGATAGATAGATAGATAGATAGATGATAGATAGATATTGTTTAAGTGGATAAAGTGATTCTTTGGTGAATAGTTTGACAATTTGAATTGGCTTAGGTTTCACAAACTGGGACTCACCCGGATGAATGAAGCTGTACTAAAAATAAGGATAAAGTAGATGGTAAAGAATCAGGACCCACCCCACCAAACCCCCCTTATCTTTACTACTTTGTCTTCATCCTGAGAAAGAATGGATGTGTGAGACAGTGTGTGTGCGTGTAACAGTGTGTGAGTGGTTTGTGTGTGCATGTGTGCTCGAGTGTGTGTAGTGTGTGCATGTTCATGTGACTGTGAGTGTGCAAATGTGTGAACGAGTGGTTTGTGTGTGCACGTGTGTGTGAATGTGTGCATATGTAAATGTGTGCGTGACTGTGTGAGCGGGAGTGCGAGTATGTGTGTGAGAGAGTGTGTGAGTGTGAGTGTGTGTGAATCGGGCTTGACAGATGCAGGACCCAGGACCTGGAGCTTGCCGCATCCCTGCGCACCCCACACTGCAGATGCAGAAAACTGAGGACGCGCTGCAGAGGCTTCTGCACAGCCCCTGCCTGCTACGGCCCCACCGGGACAGGATGGTTCCCCTTACAGCATGCCTGTCTCCTGCTAGCTCTACTGACCTCCTGTTTATTTCTTTCATGTTCTTCCTTTCTCTCTCTCTCTTTTTTTTTTTGAGACAGAGTCTCGCTTTGTTGCCAGGCGCCAGGCTGGAGTGCAGTGGTGCGATCTCGGCTCACTGCAACCTTTGCCTCCCGGGTTCAAGCAATTCTCCTGCCTCAGCCTCCTGAGTAGCTGGGACTACAGGCACGCGCCACCAAGCCCAGCTAATTTTTGTATTTTTAGTAGTGACGGGGTTTCACCATGTTGGCCAGGATGGTCTCAATCTCTTGACCTGTGATCCGCCCGCCTCGGCCTCCCAGAGTGCTGGGATTACAGGTGTGAGCCACCGCACCCAGCCTCTCTCTTTCTCTTTCTCTTTCTTTTCTTTCTTTCTCCTTCCTTCCTTTCATCCTTCCATCCTTCCTTCCTTCCTCTCTCTTTCTCTCATTCTTTATCTCTTAGACAGTTTCACTCTCGTTGCCCAGGCTGGAGTTCAGTGGTGGAGTCTCAGCTCACTGCAACCTCTGCCTCCCGGGTTCAAGTGATTCTCCTGCCTCGGCCTCCGTAGTAGCTGGGATTACAGGCATGCGCCACTACACCCAGCTAATTTTGCATTTTTAGTACAGACAGGGTTTCACCATGTTAGTCAGGCTGGTCTCAAACTCCCAACCTCAGGTGATCCACCCGCCTTGGCCTCCCAAAGTGCTGGGATTTCAGACATGAGCCACCGTGCCCAGCCTGATGTTTGTTTTTCAATAGATTCACCTTTTATAACTTAAAATGGTTTATTGTAAAGAAAGCTTTAAATAACCAATGGAAATGAAAAGCCAGCCCCACATGCCATGAACAGCCCCAACTGTTTGGATTTCATTCTGGCAGGCGTGGCCCTCAGAGGCTCTCGGCTCTAAAGGAAGCCCAACTTGGGCCAGATCAGGTGTTAAGGACACCTGAGCACCAAATTGAGCCTCAGAGACGCGGTGAAAGAATGAAAGAGCTCAGGAAGAGAAGATGGTTCTCCCCAGGGGATTCTGGGGTGTCCCCCAGTCATCTGGGCCAGTCTGCTCTGGTCCCCGGCCGCCAAGGCCGTGGCAATGGACAACATACATCCCTCACTCAATGGGTTCTCATCCTGACCATGAGGTGGGGGTGAGGGAGACATTGAGCCTGTTTTAGAACTGGAAATGGCTCCGGGCGGGGGGTGCTGTATCCACTGCCACACAAGGGGAGGTCTTTCTGGTCTCATCCCGACCATGACTCCCTCCATTCAATTCTTTTTTTTTTTTTTTTTTGAGACGGATCTTTCTCTGTCACCCAAGCTGGAGTGTGGCGGTGCAATCTTGGCTCACTGCAATCTCCACCTTTCAGGTTCAAGTACTTCTCCTGCCTCAGCCTCCCAAGTAGCTGGGACTACAGGTGCATGCCACCATGCCAGCTAATTTTTGTATTTTTAGTAGAGAAGGGGTTTCACCGTGTTGGCCAGGCTGCTCTTGAACTCCTGATCTCAGGTGATCCTCCCGCCTCAGCCTCCCAAAGTGCTAGGATTACAGGCGTAAGCCATCATTGGTCTCCCCCATTCAATTTCAATGACATGACTCCATACCCACCCATGCCATTGAGACGCCCTTTTCAGACCCTCAAATTCAAGATTCCTTGAATTTGCACCAAGGAAGCCAATTCACTGCCCACTGGGCTGACTGGCATGGGCCGCCCCCACTGCCCAGGAAGCCCTACTCAGCCCATGACCTTGCTGCCTGTGCAGTCCAGACCCCGGCGAGGGCCAGGCATGGAACACGTGCTCAGAGAGATACGGTCAGAGCCAAGGGCACAGAGTAAGATGCAGAAGAGCCCAGGCTGGAGCAGACTCCGCCTGAACATGAGCCTCCAGGAGCAGGGGCCCCGCCACTCGGTCACCGCCAGGTCCTCAGGCCAGACATGCCCTGTGAGAGGAAGGGCCCTGGGCCTCCCAGCAGAGCTTGAGGAGGGTGGCTGGCAGAGCGGGGGCTGAGGGGCCTAGAAGGGACGGAGGGTGAGGGGCTGGGGACTCTTGGCCAGGTGGGCACAAGCACATGAATCAACTCCAACTGGAAGCAAAGAAAAAGGAGCAAAACCAAATGTCCTTAGAAATTCCTTTAGTGCTCAGCTGTCCATGAAAACAGGATAAGCAGCTTCCTCTGCCTGTGCTCAGCCGGGCAGGGTGGAGGCGCTGCACTCAGGCCAGGAGGACCTTGGATCAGGATGGGGTGGGGTGGGGCCCAGAGTGGGGAAGCAGCTCCAGCGTTGCTACTTCAGGGTGTCTAGGTGGGTGCAGACCTGGGAGAAGACACTGTCCACGGAGCCCTCGGCGTTGACCTGTGGGGAGACGGGCCTCGAGGGCTGTCACCAGGTGGAGCAGGGTGCACCTCGCCACAGCAGGCCCTAGAGGCCAGGCCTGCCTCCCCCAGCCCAGCCTAATTGACAGCAGCCCCCCATTGAACCAGTAGGGAAACCCAGGCCCAGGATAGGGGCTGGCCTGAGGCCACACGCGAGCTGAGGCTGAGCCCAGCAGGAGCCCGTGTTTCCCGGAGCCCCCCACCGGCCCAGCGGGGCGCACCTTGCGTACGATGCCACGTTTCTCATAGAAAGCGATGACGGGTTCTGTGGCCTTGTAATAGGTCTCCAGCCGCTTTTTGATGGTCTCCTCATTGTCATCCACACGCCCACTGGTCTCTCCGCGCTTCAGGAGCCGCTGGGTCATGGTCTCAGGGCCTGCGTCCACATACAGCAGCAGTGTGGGCTGTCCAATCTGCAGGCGAACCATGTCACAGGGACCCCGTTCCTGCCCCCTAAGGCCATCTCCTCCCCATCTTCCCACCTCTGAGGCCCCATGAGATACCCACTTGGACCTTCAATCCCTTCCCCAAGGCAGCCTGAAAGACCCTCCTAAAACCAATCTTCCCTGCCACTCCCCTGCTCAAACCTCTACCATGGCTCCCCAGTGCCCTCAGGAGAAAGTCCATACTCCTTGCCAGACTTAGAGAGCCTGGCTGTCTCTGTTCTAGGCTCTCATCAACCTCCTTCCATGCCAGGCCTGTGCTCATGCTGTTCCCCCCACTAGGAGCCCTCTCCCCCAAGCCTAATCCTAACTCACCTTCACCTCAATACCAAGCACTTTGTATCAGGTTTCAGCCCAGAGCTCACTTCTTCAGGGCAGTCTTTCCAGTCCCACCCTCGCCCCCCATTGCTCCCGCCTCCTGGAACGGGCTCTTCCAGCCCTTTCTCTCTCCTTGAGCAAGTCTCGCAAGGGGCCCCTGAGGGCAGGGAGGCATCTGTCTCACAATGTACCTTTGACAAAGGAACAAGGAATGAGGGAAGGGGTCAGTGGCTGCTGAGTTCTGGGGGGTTCTGAGCAATGTCACTATCACTGGGACACTATGTCATCTACATCATCCATGTCATCTATGGGGCACCTTAGAAAGGCAAGAGGAGTAAGGCTCTGCAGCCCCTGCCTCGCTCAATCCGGCCACCAGAGCTGAGTAAGGAGTGGCCAGCTGGGAGGGCAGAGCCACCCCATGGCTGCCACAGCCTCAGGAATGGGTTGGGGACCTTCAAGCCCTCCCTCCTGCTTCCAACTGCCTGGGCCAGTCCCCTGGGGCTTCTGCAAAGCTTTGGCCCCCGACCCCTGTCAAGGCCTCGGGGCGCTGCCTCTCAGGTCAGGCCGTTTCTTGCCTCTGTCCAGCTGTGTGACCAAGAGACTTGTCCCAGGTCACACAGCTGGACACAGGCGAAAAGCAGCCTGATCTCCAGCGTTAGACTGACCTGGACCCAGGCTCACCCCTGCCTCTCTCTGTCCAGCTGTGTGACCTGCAGTGAGCCCTCTGTCCTCGCCTGTGATACCCATCCTAACACTCATCCCTAGCTCCTGGGTAGTTAAAGGTTCAGGGTGACCACGTCAGCTGCCTTCAGGGAGGACAGCTCTTGCTGTCCGATGACCCTGCACCACCCAGCAGCTGCTCTTATCTTACACATCACCATGAGGGCAAAGGCTGGGCCTGGAACCAGCAGTCTGACCTCAAACTCAAGGCCACCCGCCCCACCCCCATCATCCATTAGCTGCTGAGCTCCTCCAGGGCATAGACTCACAGTCTCTGGTTCATCTGGGTCTCCAGAACCACACACAGTAGGCTCTTTATAGATCCCCTGGCAGAGGTGGCAAATCTAGGAGGGCCAGCTCAGCCTCTGGGCTGAGATTCTGGCTGTGGGGCCTCAGTTTCCCGGTCAGGACAATGAGCATTTAGGCTGGGAGTCCACACCGGGCACTCCCAGTCCCCAGAAAAGCCCTGGGCCCTTGGCCTGGTCGAGCCACACTTCCAGGCTCACCCTTCCTCCTTTGGTGAAGCCCTGGCGCCCCCTGGTGTCCAGAGCTAAGAAGACCAGCTGCCTGGACCCCTGGAGGCCAGCAGGGCGGAGCCCCGGGCTGAGCCTGCGGTCCTCAGCAATACCCGCAACAGCCCTGGGAGTGGTGGCAGTGGGGGACTTTTTCTTTTTTTTTCTTTTTGAGATGGAGTCTCACTCTGTCGCCCAGGCTTGAGTGCAGTGGCATGATCTTGGCTCACTGCAACCTCCATCCAGCCAGGTTCAAGTGATGTCTCAGCCTCCTGAGTAGCTGGGATTACAGGTGCCCAAAAGCACGCCTGGCTAAATTTTGTATTTTTAGTACATGGGGTTTCGCTATGTTGGCCAGACTGGTTCTGAACTCCTGACCTCAAGTGATGTGCCCTCCTTGGCCTCCCAAAGTGCTGGGATTTCAGGTATGAGCCACCGCTCCCGGCCAACTTTCATTAACTGTATTTTCTAGATGTGGCCCTGAGGGTCACAGGTGATACCACACAGCGGCATCACTATGTGTGGGCCAGCCCAGGACAGCCCTCTGAACCGTGGCACCTGACCACACCGTCAGGGTTCTGAGGTCTGAAGGAAGCCAGCTAACCCTCATTTCAGAGAGGGAAGGTGAGGTGCAGAGCGGGGTAGACACTTTCTTGAGCTCTCCCAGCCATTCAGAGGTCAAAAAATAGTCTCCTACCCCCAGATGAGGCTGGAAGCTACGGAAGCCTGGAAGGTCCCATGGAGATAGGAAGTGGGATGGGAGTCTCATCCTGCCCCAGCCCACCGGCATGCCCGTTAGGCTCCCCCAACCTTGCCGACCTCTCCCTCCTAGGCCCTTACAGTCCCATCTGCTTCTCCCAAGGAGCCTTGTGACATCAGCGCTAAAGGTGCACGTGTGTGCTCATGCACATGTGTGTGAGCAGGCATGCATCCCTGCATATGTGTGCTGCGTCCATGTCATGCATGTGCAGGAGTGCACAGGGTCCACTGCTGTGAGTGTGCATGTGTGTATAAACTTGCGGGCCTTGTGCGCACGTGTGCATGTGTGAGGTGCCCTGTCCTGGGAAAGGTGTGTCTGCAGGGCACCCGTGCTAGGAAGCTCAGGGCCATGATTCTCCAGGCTTGCTCTTTGCAGCCAGGCTCTTCATGACCCCTGGAAGGAGAATGATGCCCCTCCATGGCCTTTGCAGCCTCCAGCTAGACTGGAACTTCCCTCTCCCATGTCACCCCCTGTTGCCCTGCCCACATTTTCTGATCTCCCCACACTGGCCTTGCCCTTCCATCCCTGCCAGTGCTGTTCCCTACCTCTCTGTGTGTTTATGCAGGGCCAAGCCCCACACCTGAAGGCACATCTTCTCCAGTCCCCACACTGCCCCTTAAGGCAGCTGTGACCTGGTCCCCCACAACTCCCTGAATTTTGCAGATGGGGAAACTGAGGTTCAGGAGGCAGAATGACTGGCCCAAGGTCTCAAGCTGTTGAGCTGGAATCTGAGCCCAGATTTGGGAACTCCCCTGCCTGGTGCTTCCCCTTCTTCTAGACTTCCAGAAAGTCTTCCTGGTTTTCCTCCTCACCCACACTCCATGAATCAGCCTCTGCTCAGAGCTCTGCCCTGCACTGCAGCCCCCACAGGCCCACCCACTCAGGTCAGTGCCTTACCCGCCGCTCAAACTCTTCTCCCTGCTGTACCTCCCGCGGGTAGCCATCGATCAGGAAGCCTTTGGAAGTGTCAACTTTGGCCACCATGGCATCCCGGAGCATGTCCAGCACTGTCTCCTGGGGCACAGCAAGGGAGGAAGGGGCCGTGAGCCTCTCCTCCCCACCCCCATCCCTCCTCCCAGCCTTTGCTCACACTGCTCCTGCCACCTGAAATGCCCCCTCCCCTATACAAATGTCCCAAACAAGCCTCCCCCTCTTGGCAGCCTCCTCGGAATTGTGGGGGCCTCGACAGTGAATGAATGATGCGTTCACTCAACAGCATTCACTGAGCCCCTCCTTCCATCCTGGTGCTGTCCTAGGTCCCGAAGACACTGCCATGGGCCAATCAGACCTTCCCTGCCCTGGGAAGCTCAAGGGCTGGTGAGGGCACAGACAGCTCCACAGTTGATTTCTCCATTTCCAAGCATGGCACAGGTTGTACGGGAAGGGAAAGGTGGGCTTCTGAAGTAGAAAACTGGGGAGTCGTAGGCCAAATCTGGGGAGTTAGGGAGGTCTGAAAGCTGAAGAGGAAAGAATATTCCAGGCAGGAAGGAGAGTGGCCAGTTTGAGGGGACAGAGGCCAGGGTGGCTGAAGGATGGGGGGCAAGGGGATAGTGGGGGCAAGGGCAGAGTCCTGCAGGGTCTCGGGAGCTTCTGGAAGGAAATTTCTGTCCAGGGCAATGGAGAACCACAGAAGGGTTCAGAGCTGGGGGTGGTCACGGTCAGCTTTGCCTGAGTGTCATGGGCTTTGCTGCTGGTGGGACACCCACTGTCACCTCCTCCTCCTCACCCCACCAGGGCCAACTCACCAGTGGCACCAGCTGTCCCTTCTCCATGATTTCCGACAGCTTCTTGCCCCTGGCCGATCCCGAGCTGACCTCGGCGCGCAGGAGGTCTCCGGTGGAGAGGTGGGTGTAGCCGTACTTCTGCACAATCTTCTCACACTGGGTGCCCTTCCCTGAGCCAGGCCCGCCTGCAAGCGCCCACTCATTCATAAACCCCGAGACACAGGGCTCCAGGAGGGACAGGGGCTGCCAGGATCCCCCAGTGAGGGAGGGGCAGAGCCTGGGAGCAGCCCCAGGCCCGGGCTCCCTCTAGCGCCTGTGTAGACCCTTGCTGCACCACCCGCCTGCCCGCAACTCACCCACCACAAAGATGATCTTGGTTTTCTTCAGCTTCTCTGCGTGAGAGAAAAGGGGAGCAGGGCTCAGTCACTCCCTGGACCCACAGCCAGAGGCACCTCTGGAGTCCCAGGCCTGTGCTGGGCCTCAGGCGGAGGGACAGACACCACTGGTGCTCCTGTCAGGGGGCAGACAAGTCACAGCCCAGAGTGAGCAGGGATGTGAGAGAACGCTCAGAACCTGGGAGAAATCAGAGAAGGGAGGGCACTCCCGGCAGCCAGACGGGCAGGGGCAAAGGCCTGGAGGCTAAGAACTCTCAGCACAGCCAGTGGGCTGGGCCACCAACCCTCATGGCACATCCCTGTGGGTGGCTGGACCCCTGGGGCTGGTCACCTCTGGCTCTCAGGTCGTCTTCTCTGCGGGGGTCACTCGAGGAACAGCAGCCCATGGTCCCGTCCTGCTGCGTTTCCCCTGCCCTTCCCCTCCCAGGCCCTGGGTCGGCCCATCACCCGCCTCCCTTGGCAGTGCCAATGTGGGCTTGGCAACCACAACATAGGTTGCCATAGAGATGGTTGCCGGGGTGAAGGGCTGTGGTGGGCACGTGGAACTCTTGCCCAGAGAGGGCGGTGAGCCTGGCTCCAGCCTCTGCCTCGGCCTGCCTGCAGTTAAATCCCAGCAAGGCCACAGCCCTACTGGGCAGAGGGAAACTGAGCCCAAGAGAGGCAGGGCCTGCTCTAGGGATGTCAGAACCAAAACCAGAACCCGAGTCTCTCCCTGGGCTTTCAGGCTTCCCTGCTTCCCAGGCAAATAGAGGACCAGGCTGTACCCCACCTTGCTGTATGACTTACGAAAGGCCTGCCGCTCTCTGGTTCTCTGACCCTTCCCCAGGGAGGAGGTGGGCTGGGCGGCTCCCAGGGGCCCTCCCAGCCATGAGGCTGGAGGCCTACAGGAGCTGTTAGAAGAACAGCTCCTCCTGCGGGCTCCTGTCCTGGGGGTGGGGGAGGCCACACCCCTGCAGCGGTTGATGTTTGCAGCTCAGGAGTGGATGCATGACCGCTGGCTTCAGGCAGCAGCAGCAGGCCCGCCAGGCACCTTTCAGAGCTGCCCAGGCCAAGGCGCAGTGCCAGGGACTAGACGGATGGTGCTGCCAGCAGCCGAGGGCGGGCCGTTTCTGCACTCCCTGCCCACCTGTGTCTCCCTCTAGGTCCCAGCCTGTAGGAGCCAGGAGGGCCCAAGACCTCCTCAAAGCCTACCCCACTGGATGACAGGGAAACTGAGTCCCAGAGAGGTAGAGGAACTTGCCTTGTCCTCACTGGTGTTTTGTGTATCTGTGGCCTCCCCATGGGGCAGAGTCTCAGCCCTATAAATCCAGCATAGTGGGTGAGCGCTGGGGCCCCCAGGAGCCTTGGGGAGGCCTCGTCACTTCTAAAAATTAATCTTGGAAACGGCACATTCTGTGAGACGCCAGAGGAAGATACTGGAGGCTCCCAGCCAGGCCCCCTCTGGCAGCCCCAGAGCCTCCTCCAATCCCCCCAGAATGTCTACCCCATAGTACACCCCCTCAACAGGCACGCTGAGGCCAGGCAACAGGCAAAAGGAGACAAGGCTCATACCTTCCATCCTGCCGAGGTCCTGGGAGCTGTGTCAGCGCTCTGCAAGACAAGGGCACAGGTTGGGGGATTTTCTTCCTCACCCTGACTCACCTTCTGCTAAGCCACACCCAAGGCAGCCGGCGTGTGCCAGGCCCGACACACGGTCTGAGGACAGAGGGGGCCGCTGTGGGCAGGGAAGGCCCAGGGCCTTCCCTGGGAAAGTCACCTTTTCTCTCTGGCCTCCATGGCCTCACCTGTCACAGGATGGCAGTAGCCCCTTCCCATCCACCTGGGTTCCCGCTGAAGGGGCTGGGACAGTGAGGATGGCACTGAGGGACATGAACAGTGGCCACAGCAACTGCAGAGCTGCTCCCCTCAAAACTCCCAGAAAACAGGGCGCGGGGCCAGCGTCTGCCCAGGCACCTTGACAACGCTCCCCAGGGCTGGAGGGAAGGTGCCAGGAGGCGGGAGGTGGCCAGGAACTGTGTGTGTCTGGGATGCGGTTTGGCTGGGGAAGCTCTAAGGGACACAGAGGCCTGGGGTGGAGGAATCTCTGGGAGCCGCTCGCATGAACACAGGCCTTTATAGTTGTCAAAGTGAGGCAGTCCAGGCCCTCCCCTCCACAAGTCCAGCACCCAGCCCCATGCATGGCCCTGCCCCCCCACCCTTTGAGGATCTGGCTTTACTGCCCCCACCTTGCCTGCCCAAGAGCCCAACCACGCGTGGGACCCCACCCTGTGCTGCCACAGCCCCCAGACCCCCACCTTGCCCCCAGCTCAGAACCACCCTCTGGACACCTGTGGCCTCTACCTCTTCACTCCCACCCACCAGCCCACCCCAAGGCCCCTCCCCTCCAGCCTTGACCCCCCCAGCCAGCATCCCACCCACACCAGGATCTCACCCTGGGCACCCATGCCACTCTCTTCTTGGATCCCCATCCCTGTGCAGGCAGCCCAGGCCTCTCTCCCCAGCCCCAGACATCCATGTAACCCAGCCAGGCCCCAGAAGCCTCAGAGGCTTCTCAGACTCTGCCCTCCCCGAGTCCCCAGCTCCAGGCCCCACTGGCTAAGCCACAGGCTGAGTCAGTGTGAAGGCTCCCCTCTCCTCTCCACAGCCCCACACACCCACTACCCAACCCTCCGCTCCCCACCCTCTCTCCATCTGTCTCACCACCATGTCCTGTGCTAAGCAAGGGGCCTGGGCCACTGCCCCCGCCTCCACACGGACCTCAAAGCCTCCACACCCTGCCAGGCAATTGGCACGATTTTCTCTGGCAAGCATCACACCACATCACACACCCGCTTACAGCCTTGCATGTGTGGCCCCCTCGGCTCCCTGACAAAGCCTGCACCCCTTGACAGAGAGGACAGGGCCTGGTGAGCCCCTGCCGCCCTCTGCAGCCCTACCAGCTGCCACTGGCAGATGTTGTGCCCAATGCCTGGATGCCTTTCCCTACCTTGCTACCGTGTGGGACTCAGCTCAGGTGCCACCTCTTTCAGGAAGCCTTCCTAGACTCTGCCCTTCACTCCCACAGTGGCAGGTGCCTCCTGGGAACCTGCCCACACACCACGCTGTACTGGGCCTCTCTTCTGTGCTGTGGGCCTGGGGTCCCACTGACTGGGCCTGGCATGGGCTGAGCGCAGGGCTGGGGAGCCTCATTCCCTCCTCACTGCCGTCTTGGGACGAAACTGAGACATGGGGAGGAGGACAGACTGGCTCGAGGGCTGGCTAGGGTCCAACGCGGCCCAGCGTTTCTGCTACTCTGGGCCTGGCACCCACTAGGAGCTGAAGCGGCTTTGCTGACGGCCCTGGTGCCCCAGGCAGGAGTGGCAGCCACTTTTCCTGCTGAGTGTGCTTCACGGGGTCAGGCAATGCCAGGCACCCCTCAGCAGTTGCCCACGGGAGGGGGAGCGTGCTGGGCCAGGGACAACCACAGCGAAGACCTGAGAAGTGGCCTGGACCCCGCCCTGCCCTGCCCCCTCCTGGTAATCTAAGCCCCTCTGTCCTGCTGGCACCTGCCACCTTCTTGCTCCAAAATAACTTGGGTCGTGAGGAGGCCTCACAGAGACAGGAGGCTAAGATGGAGTTGGGTTACGGGCTAAGCACCCAGGCCTTATAAGGCCGCTGGGTCAAGGCCCCAATGACTCCTAATATGACTGGGTGGTCTGCTAAGAGACCTGTGGGACCACGGCTCACCCAGAAGGACAGTGGCTTAACCCCAATCACAAGGCAAGGCCGAGGCAAGCCCTGGTGTCCAGCCCCTGACCCAGCCTCGTTGGTTCCCAGTGGTTGGCAACTGACTAGGGTTCGAATCTCAGCTCCATCACTCAGCTGTGTGACCTTGGGCAGCTGGTGTTTCCTCTCTGGGTCTGTCCTGCTGCTGCTGAGTACTGGGTGGCCGCTGAGCAGTGCTGTGGGAAGTCCCCAAGTGCTGGCCCTGGGGCTCCGGTCAGGAGGTGAGGGTGAGCCCTGAGCTTCTGGGGGGTGTCCTCCGATGCACCCAGCACTAGAAGTGGTGTGACAGGATAGCCCCCCCCCCCAGCACAGGGGCTGCCCCTGTCCAGGTCCCCTGGGGCAGAGGGCCAGGCCACAGCTTCTCCTCCCTGGGCCCCAGCTGGGACATGCCAAGGGCAGTGACCTGGAGCCCCAGGAGTGCCAGTCGGAACAAAGGGGTGACTCTCTGGGAGGCTGTGGGTGGGTGGGGGACTGCAACACACACACATGCACACACACACACGCACACACACACACACGCACGGATCCACAAAGGCACAGGCAGCGAGGCACCGATCCCCAGCGCCCGGGGAACACAGCCAAGCAAAACACACACGGATCACAACCACGGATACACAGCCGCACAGACCCCGGAGAGCCCGGCACCAGCACGCCCCCACCGTCCCCCGGTGCCGCTGCCCCTCCCCGCGGAGGCGCCCCCCCCGACACGCGCGGGCACGCACTGACCTGGGGAGGGGTACGGGTGGGCGCCGGGGCCAGTGCGTGCCCTACCCGTCCTCGCGGCCGCCGGCAAAGGCGACTATTTATAAGGCTGTCAGCGCGCGGCATGCCGGGAGCCGGCGCTCCCGAAGGCAGGGAGGGCTGGAAGAAGGGAGGGAGAGCGGACCGGGGACCGGGAAGCGGGGCGGGACCGAGCCCCAGCCCGGGTGCGCAGCGAGACCGCGCCCGGCACCGTGCGCCCCGCACCGTGCACCCTCAGGTGGCTGTGCCCACACACGCGCACTACGCTTTACAGTTGGCCAAGTTTTCCATTGCGGCACCCCCACTGTGCCCAGGGTACACTCCAGGGTACAAGGCCAGGCTTTCCCTATAACTGGAGAAACTGAGGCTCGGAGAGGAGCGGCTCTTTGCACAGAATCTCATAGTGCACTGGTGGCAGAAAGGCCAGAGCAGGGAGCCAGGGGACTGAGGCATGCACTCAGGGGCTTTGCTGACCACTGTCCCTACGCTGGTCCTCAGAGCCTGGCCAGAGGCCCTGGCCAAGACCCATCTGGGTCTCCTCCTCCCCTGTTGGGAGGCATCCTTCGAGCTCCTCTGGGACTTGAACCCCTCAGTACCCAAAAGACCACCCAGTAAGGTAGAAGATGATTTAAAAAAAAAAAAAAAAGAAAAATCCCTGCTCCCATGGAACTGCTGGGCAGCTCCCAATGAGTGAGCACTAGGATGTGGGACATTCCGAAGGCTGTGGATAGGCAGAGAGGGGATTGGCGGTCCTGATGAAAAGAATAGCTCCCATTAACGCGCACTCACTGGCTAAGCAGTGGATTCAAACCGCACCTGTGAATCCTGAGACACAGCAGAACAGGAGGCAAGCAAGTCAAATACTCTGCGTGAGGCTCCCTGGTAGAAAGCCGTGTGTTTATCCAGCGTTTTGCAGAGGAACTGGCACATAGTCGTAGGTGCTCAGTGATGTAGCAGGGCAGGGATGGGAGCCCAGGACTATCCAGCTTTGGAACTCACACACTTGACCACCAGACCACATTACAACCTTGAAGACAGCAGCCCCGAATGGTGAGGTGGGTGGAGTTTGGAATTTGTCTTATAGGCCCTAGGGAGCCATAGAAGGTATTTGAGCAAGAGAGTGAGACTATCAGGAGATTGAGATCGCCTTCAGTGCTGGTGCCTTAGCAACCACAGCAGCCAGGAGACCAGGAGGCGTGGGTCTCTGCCACCTGTGATGTCAGACAAGTCCTTACTTCTTGGGACCTTAGTTTCCCCATCTGTGGTGGGGGGCAGGTGCAGTGGAGTGAGAGGTTCTGCATTAGAAGCTGTTTGAAAGACCCTCTCAAGGGTATGTGCATTGGCACCTTTGGGGAAAGCAATTGACAGAGTAAATCAAAATTTCAAATGCACTGGGCATGATGGGTCACTCCTATAACCCCAGAACTTTGGGAGGCCGAAGTGGGAGGATCACTTGAGCTCACTTGAGCCCAGGAATTCCAAGACCAGTCTGGGAAACATAGTGAGACCCTGTATCTAAATATAAAACACACACACACACACACACACACACCCCTTCAAATGTGCCCTTCTACTTTAAGAAATTCATTTCAAGAAAACATGTGGGCACAAATTTACACAGGAAGGCTTTAGAGTGCCAGCGGACTGACTGGGATGATCGCACAGCCAAGGTGGGTGAGGAGTTGGCAACATTGGCATAGGGTATGAGTGAGAAAGGAAGCCCAAGTTCTTTGTGGTTAATGGGACAAGAGGCTTCAGACACACATAGCATTGGTGAGAACTAGGCAAAAGGCCCCACTGTACTCCTCTGATCCCACCTGCGTAAAAATGACTTGAGGCTGGGAGCGTTGGCTCATGCCTGTAATCCCAGCACTTTGGGAGGTGGACGCAGGAAGATCACTTGAGGCCAGGAGTTCAAGACCAGCCTGGGTAACATAGTGAGACAGTCTCCATTCTTTAAATAAAAATAATAAATTTTAAAAAGACTCTAAACATGCAAATGTGTATGTGTGTGTGTATATGTAAAATCTATTCTCAGACTTTTTTTTTTTTTTGCGCCTTAACTCTACGAAGTTAAAATCACATTGTCTTACAATCAAATTGACAACATCTTAGAGTGGGTGAAATGAAATAGACAGAGAGGGCAAGTGTGTGCATATGACCACCTTGCCGGACTGGCTGGAGATGAGACTTCCGCTTCCTACTTAAAGGCTTCCCCAGGCTTTCTTTTTAAACTTTTTTTTTTTTTTCTGAGATGGAATCTCACTCTGTTGCCCAGGCTGGAGTGTGGTGGCGCAATCTCAGCTCACTGCAACCTCCACTTCCCGGGTTCAAGCGATTCTCCTGCCTCAGCATCCTGAGTAGCTGGAATTACAGGTGTGTGCCACTACACCTGGCCAATTTTTTTATTTTTAGTAGAGACAGGGTTTCACCATGTTGGTCAGGATGGTCTCAAACTCCTGACCTCCTGATTCACCTTGCTTGGCCTCTCAAAGTGCTGGGATTACAGGCGTAAGCCACTTTTTTCTTTTCTTTTCTTTTCTTTTCTTTTCTTTTCTTTTCTTCTTTTCTCTTCTCTTCTCTTCTCTTTTCTCTTTTCTCTTCTTTTCTCTTTTCTCTTTTCTCTCTTTCCTTTCCTTTCCTTTCCTTTCCTTTCCTTTCCTTTCCTTTCCTTTCCTTTTCTTTTCTTTTCTTTTCTTTTCTTCTTTTCTTTTCTTTTCTTTTCTTTTCTTTTCTTTTCTTTTCTTTTTTTTCTTTTCTTTTCTTTTCTTTCTTGAGATGGAGCTTTGCTCTGTTGCCCAGGCTGGAGTGCAGTGGCATAATCTTGGCTCATTGCAACCTCTACCTCCTGAGCTCAAGCAATTCTCCTACCTCAGCCCCCCAAGTAGCTAGGACTACAGGCATGCACCACCATGTCTGGCTAATTTTTGTATTTTGAGTAGAGACAGGGTTTCACCATATTGGCCAGGCTGGTCTTGAACTCCTGACCTCAAGTGTTCCACCTGCCTCAGTATCCCAAAGTGTTGGGATTACAGGCATGAGCCACTGCACCCAACCCCCCCAGGCTTTTTTTTTTTAAGAGTCAGGGTCTCACTTTGGTGCCCAGGCTGGAGTTCTATCTTGCAGTTATAGCTCACCACAGCCTCAAATTCCTGGGCTCTAGCAATACTCCTGCTGATCTCCCAAAGTGCTGAGATTACAGGTGAGTGTCACCGTGCCCAGCCACCCAAGAATTTGTGTTTTTCCATACAGCAAGCATCTATAACTTTTTATATAAAACAATTTTAACATGGATAAATCTTAGGGACATTATGTAAGTGAAATAAGCCTGTCACAAAAAGGCAAATACTGTATAATCCCTTTACTTTTAAATATCTAAAGGAGTCAAACTCAGAAAAAAAAGTAGAATGATGGTTGCTAGGAGCAGGGAGAATGAGGAGGGGAGATGCTGTTTAATGGGTACAGAGTCTCAGATCTGCAAAATGACGAAATTTTGGAGCTCTGTTATCCAATAGTGTGAAAATTGTTAAGATGGTTAATTTTATGTTATGTGTTTTTTACCGCAATTTTTTTTTTTTTTTTTTTTTTTTTTTTTTTGAGATGGAGCCTTGCTCTGTCACCCAGGCTGGAGTGCAGTGGCGCAATCTTGGCTCACTGCAACCTCCGCCTCCAGGATTCAAGCGATTCTCCTGCCTCAGCCTCCCCAGTAGCTGGGCCACAAGTGCCCATCACCACGCCGGCTGATTTTTTTTTTTTTTTGTATTTTTAGGGGTTTCACTGTGTTAACCAGGATGGTCTCAATCTGCTGGCCTTGTGATCCACCTGCCTTGGCCTCCCAAAGTGCTGGGATTATAGGTGTGAGCCACCACACCTGGCCTACCACAATTTTTAAAATAAAATAAATAATTTTTTTAAATAAAGAAAATCAATTTTAAGTATCTGTCTTATTTTATTTGCATGTGAACTGTAGATTTTCTACCAATTCTGGAATATTAAAGTTTCAGAATTTTAATTCCCAGGTATAACCCAAGGAAAGAAAAAAAAGAGAGGGAGAGAAAAATTGGAAGAGGGAAAGAAAAAAAAAAAATTGGGCCGGGAGCAGTGGCTCAAGCCTGTAATCCCAGCACTTTGGGAGGCCAAGGCGGGTGGATCACGAGGTCAAGAGATCGAGACCATCCTGGTCAACATGGTGAAACCCCGTCTCTACTAAAAATACAAAACATTAGCTGGGCATGGTGGCGCATGCCTGTAATCCCAGCTACTCAGGAGGCTGAGGCAGGAGAATTGCCTGAACCCAGGAGGTGGAGGTTGGGATGAGCCGAGATCGCGCCATTGCACTCCAGCCTGGGTAACATCAGTGAAACTCTGTCTCAAAAAAAAAAAAAGAAAAAGAAAAAGAAAAAAAAAAATTGCATGAGCCTGAGCACCAGGGCTCACATCTGTAATCCCAGAACTTTGGGAGGCTGAGGCAGGAGGATCGCTTGAGCCTAGGAGTCTGAGACCAGCCTGGGCAACATAGCAATACCTTGTCCCCACCAAAAAAAAAATTTTTTTTTAATTATCCAAGCGCAGTGGTGCCTGCCTGTAGTTCCAGCTACTTCAGAGGCTGAGGTGGGAGGACTGTTTGAGTCCAGGAGATCAAGGCTACAGTAAACCATGATGACAAAACCCTTTTTTTCTCAAAAAAGAAAAAACTTCATGGAGGAGAGATCTGGAAGATTATACCCTAGATTGTTACAGGGAATAGGACCCAGTGATACCTTCCTTTTCTATCTTATATCATCTGTATTAAGTTGTTATGATCAAAAAATCTAAAAACAAACATAAAAATGAAACCAATTTTTAAAACATTTAAAAATATTTTCTAGCTTGTGACATTTAGGAACATAATTAAAATGAAAATATTTTGGTTACGGCCAAGTGTGGTGGCTCACGCCGGTAATCCCAGCACTTTGGGAGGCCGAGGCGGACAGATCACCTGAAGTGAGGAGTTTGAGATCAGCCTGACCAACATGAAGAAACCCTGTCTCTACTAAAAACAAAAAATTAGCTGGGCCTGGTGGCACATGCCTG